CACTATTAGGTTAGAGATAAGGAGGTTAATTCAGTCAAGGAGGGTGAGGCCCACTTCTAGCAGCTGATCTGGAGGTGTGAACACCAAGAGAGGAGAAACTGCTTTTGTACTTGGCTAGCCATTCACAGTCTTTGTTTAATCCTAAACTGATGGTGTCAAGTTTGCAGATGAACTGTAGCTCAGCAGTTTCTCTTTGAAGTCTGGTCTTGAAGTTTTTTTGCTGCAGGATGGCTACCTTTAAATCTGCTACTGTGTGTCCAGGGAGATTCAAGTGTTCTCCTACAGGTTTTTGTATATTGCCATTCCTTATATCTGATTTGTGTCTATTTATTTTTTGGGTAGGGTCTGTCCAGTTTGGCCAATGTATATAGCAGAGGGGCATTGCTGGCACATGATGGTGTATATTACATTGGTAGATGTGCAGGTGAATGAACCAGTGATGGTGTAGCTGATTTGGTTAGATCCTGTGATGGTGTCACTGGTGTAGATATGAGGGCAGAGTTGGCAATGAAGTTTGTTGCATGGATTGGTTCTCTAACTCAGGAACGAATCCATGCAACAAACCTCATTGCCAACTGTGCCCTCATATCTACGAAAGCGACAACATCACAGGACCTAACCAATATACAAAAACCTGTAGAACACTGTTCATCTGCACATTTGACACCATCAGTTTAGGATTAAACAAAGACTGTGACAGACAGCTTCAGACAAGACTTTCGTCCACCCTGCAGGAAGCCGGCACTACACTAGAGGTGGCTCGCAATCGACCAGTTGATCACGATCGACGGGTTGGTGACCATGGGTCTATAAGTTGCCACAGGACTCCTTGTCGCTTTTGCAGATCCAGACTAACATGGCTACCCCTCTGATACTTGACACTATTAAGCTGAAAATAAAAGTACTGGCATTAGGGCTACTGCGTAAAAGATGTGATACACAGAAAGCACTAAATTGGCAAATAAACTTTTATCAGGGTTAAATTTTTACTGAATATATTTCTCCTGTTGGTGCACTAGACTTCCTTTTTCAGAGCTATCTGGCTTTGGCACGTGAAAAGTACTGAGCATATACTACACCCTTCCATGCTCCTGCTCCTTCCCCCAGCCAGGCACCCTACTCCGATCCCACACCCATCCCTATCCCACTTGCTGGTAGCCCTGTCCCGCACACTTAACCACTCTTTTTTGTCCCCACCCCGAGCCTGGGGGGGGGGGGGCATCAAATCCACTAACTCTGGGCCCCAGGAAAGTAAATTTGGCCTATGGAAAGTCCTGAACCTTGGTCCTCCTTGTCCCTTCCCCTCACCCCATGGGACTGTAGTGCCAGAGGAGTGAGGTTTACATTTGGGGTTTACATCAGAGAGGGTTGGGGGTTTCTGGACGAGTTTTTTGCTTCTCACTTGTGTGGTTCCCTGACCCAAAAAAGGTTCCCCACCCCTGCCATAAATAAGGAAAACTTTTAAACTTTTTGTATTGAACATACATTAATATTTTAGTCTATTTAAAATTAAGTTTGATAAAATAACATTAGAAAGTTAAAATGCTTAATCTGTTTAATATTTTAAATTAAACTGTTCTCCCAGGTTGCAGCACTAGCAAAATGGCTCAGGTGTAATTATGTAATTAACAGTGAGTTTCCATTAGCAACTTGTGGTCCCTGGAGAGGTTTACATTGAGCCAGGTGGTCCACAGGCCAAAAAGTTTGAGAACCACTGCCCTAAAGCGAGGCAGTAGGGTGCATGGCCAAGGCAGGAAGTCAGAGACACTTTACTGCAAAAATGTAGGTACTTACAAGGTTACGCTGCAGCCAAGCAGCAGTTTTGTAGCTCAAAGTGGCTTCTAAAAACATTTTAGGTGCCTAAATCAGGAGTTTAGGATCTTAAGTACTTGGCCCTGACCCTATTAAGAAAAGGCATTCATGATTAACTCCAAATACTTTTTAAACACAAAAACTGCAAACTCTTATTCCTACTATGAAGAAGTGCAAAAAGACAAAAGGAGGAAATCAGATATAACTGTCCTATTTAATGTTACAAGTCTCAAGACTCAAATGTATAGCCTTGATTTTCTTGCAACCAATGTGTCCTTTAGTATCACATGATGAGAAACAGGAGGGAAAGTCCATTCATTGCTGGTTGCTCCTCCAGAACTTGTGATCACATATTGCTGCTTAGTAACAAAATAAAAACGCCTACAGTTATAGAAAAATGCTTAAACAGAATTTACAGCTCTCATTCAGTTCTCTACTAAACTGCCCAAACTAAAGCCAAATTTCTCATTCTACTTCCTCTTTTGAGATCTGAATTGATACATCAGAGGGGAAATTTCCTAAGAACAGGCCAGCTCAATGTTAACCAGAAAAAAAAAGTAGCTTAAAGAGAAAAAGAAATAGACAAGTTTCCACGGAGGTCGTATGGGGTCCAAGGGCCATGCAATCCAGACAACTCCTTTCCCAAAAATGTCCCGTGTGGTTTTACAATTTCCCACTAACTGGATGAGAGGCAGATTTGAAGGAAGGGAGGGAGTGGATCAGACCTACCCCAGGATTAAAAAAAACAAACTCAACGGGAACAACACGTTTAGGGGGGCAAGTTTTTTTTAATCTGTTTGAAAAATGTTAACTAGAGTGAGATCGGCACTAGCTGAGCAGCGCTGGCCAGAGGGAAAACCAAAGACAAAACCGGGTAGAGAAGGAAAACAAATGGGCGGGGGAGAAATGCCCCCAGCACTTACCCATCTCGGAGCAGTTTATGTGCCGGCTCTGGCCCCCCCTGCCCACCTGGAAGACCCAGGTGCCCTCCAGGTCCGCAAAGCTGCAGTTGGCCGGGGTGTCGGCCAGCGACTCCCGGGGCAGGGAGACCAGCAGGGCGGGGAAGAGGCAGCACCATGCTAAGGGCCCCATGTCGCCGCCTCGCTGCCGGGGGAGCCGAGTCCCGGGACAGGAGCTGCACCGGGCGGCGCGGAGCGAGTCCAGCAGCAGTCTCCCTCCCCTTGCTCACGGCGCTGCCGCCCGGGCTGGACTGGAGACCAAGGGCCAGGCTGGGCCAGACCCGCCCCGCAGGCATCACGTGGAGGAGAGGAACGGGGCCTCCTGCCCTCCCCTGGAGCGGGCCTGCTGGGTGCAGAGCTGCTCGCGCAGCGACTTGCAGCCAGGCGGATGCAACTGCAAACCGAGCTCCCCGAGTTGGAGGGAGAAGCCTGTTACCCCGGACTGGCCGCTCCCCGTCCTCCAGCAGCAACTGCTCATGGGCTTCAGACACTACAGAGCCAGAGACCTGGCTGCAACAGGTCTACCCCCCTCCACACACACACACACCTCAACAGACCAGGCTGGAGCCCTGTAGGACAGGGTTGCTGGGTGTCCGGGTTTGAACTGGACAGTCCAGTCTTTGAGCTTGTTGTTCGGGAAACAAATTGAGAAAATATAAATGTCCGGTATTTTCTAAATAAGATGTAATGTAGATTGTGATGTAATGTCAAGTGTGTCCAGTATTTTTGTTGAAACCATTTGGCAACCCTACTTCTTCCCTTTCATAAAAAATACCCTAAACAAACTCTGGCCAGCCAAAACTCTTCACTTACGACAAAATCCTGATTTAACTGCAACAATCATCTTGAATCAACACATATTCAACCAGGGCTGTTAAAAACACCCCCAGGATGGGACAAAACCAGTGTTGTCAGTTACCTCCTCCACCTACCACTGAATTTGTGGCTGTAGATATGGGGCTGTTCATATCAAGTAGAATTCAGATCCAAGCTGTTTCTACTTTGCTCGAGCAAATTGGTTCTTAGATCCATACAACCCTGCTTTTGGTTTGACAACATTCCACTGACCAGTTTTTTACAGCATCAAAAGCAAACCACCTTGATTTGTCTATTGCAAAAAGGGAGCAAACCCCTTGTGTGTTGAATCTTCCCCCACTGAATTTTGGGGATTCACTTAAAAGGGAATCTGGCGACTAACTGATCCTAATTGTGCAAACCCCAGACTTAAAAACAAGGAAGTGCAAAACCAAGCCACAGAACTTCTCTAGCTCATCTGCTGATAACTCATCTGGCTTGATTTGCATATTCATAGAAATCCTGACTTGTTAGGAATTTCCTGTTCTCTTTTATATTTCAGTACAGCTTGTTCAAATGTAAACCGTTGTATCCACTCCCCTCCCTCATGTTTGTCTACACTAGTGCTCCCACCATTTCCCAATAATTACTAATCAGACTTAGTAATGCCTATGGACTGGCTGACAAGAAGGTCTTGTTGTGCTGGCGCTGCATAACACAGAGTAGCAGCCTGTCCCTATTCTGCAGCATTTACATTCCAAGCAGAGAAAACAGATAATTTGAAGTAGGAATAAGATCCTCCGGAAAAGGGCGCTTTTTCCGGAGGATCGGGACCAGTGTAGATGCTCTTTTCCGGCTTTTCTAAAAGCCAGAAAAAAGCGGCGGACATTTTTATTTAAATGCCGCGGGGGATATTTAAATCCCCCGCGCATTTCCCTATTACGATCGCTGAAATTAACATGCCCCTTCCGGAAAAGGGGCCAATGTAGACGTAGCCATCCTGTTTATCTCTGACCATTTCTCTAACTTGCTAAGGTAATTTTGAATTATGTCCCTATCCTCCAAAGAAGTTGCAACCCCACCCAGTTTGGTATCATCTGCAAACTTAATAAGCATACTCTCTATCCCAATAACGTCAGTGTAGACATACCCTTAGGTATAATCACTGATGTATTGATAGAAGCCTTCAACTGCCTGAAAGGGGAATTCTAAAGAGGATGGAGAGAGGTTTCTCAGTGGTGACAGATGACAGAACGAGGAGCAATGGTTTCAAGTTGCAGGGGAACTCTAGGTTGGATATTAGGAAAAGCTATTTTACTAGAAGGGCAGTGGAACATTGGAATGGGTTACCTAGAAAGGTGGTGGAATCTCCATCCCTAGAGGTTTTTAAGTCCCGGCTTGACAGGGCCCTGGCTGGGTTAATATAGTTGGGATTGGTCCTGCTTTTAGCAGGGAGTTGGACTCAATGACCACTTGAGGGCTCTTCCAACCCCACGATTCTATGTATTACCAGTGTTGTGTGATCAATCTTACGCAAAGTATGCCTTACAGCTCAGTGATACCTTACTAGTATTATTATTTTGTCTAAATCTGTGTATCATCATTGCATCTCAAATCATGAATACATGCCATATGTTTGTATCTCAAATGTACTGTATTCCTGGATGACTCCCACAAAGCAGATTTGCATCAAGGCTAGTAAGCCTTGTATTGAAGGCCCATTTAGACAATCAACTCTTCAGCAAGCTCCTCCTGAGGATATCTCAGAAGGCAGAGAGACAATTGTTGCCCCAGGACTCAGCAATGGCATGTGATGTAAGGACTTGTGATCCAAGATTGCACCAGTAACTTTCCATAAACATGGGCTGCGGGTATAAAAGTGCAGACTGTGACATCACTTCTTTGCCTCTTTCCTGCTCCCCATTTCTGGATATGATTTCTAACGAAGATCATTGAAAATGGACAGATGGCCCCAATATTTGGGATGACCCAGACCGACTTATTACAAATTGGCAGATTTAACATCAGTGCTATTATCCTGATTTACAAACACTGAAATTGAGTGTAATATGTATGATTCATTGTAACCTCTTCATCTTCCTTTTCCCTTTATATTAATAAACATTTAGGTTTTAGTTGTGAAAAGACTGGTTACCAGCATGGTTTGGGGGTAAGATCTGACGTATATTTTGACCTGGGATGTGTGACTAGTTCTTTGGAACTGGAAGAAGCTAAGGTATGTGTGATTTTTGGTTTTAACGGTCATATATCACAAACGTCTGGTTTGTCTGAGATATGCATGAGGGGCTAGCAGGCTTGAAGGAGACTCTCTATGGCTTCATAATAACCTGTGTAGTAGTTTAGAAGCACCCGTTACTGGTTTGGAGAAATCTTATGCTGGAGTATACTACAGGTTGTACCTCCCTAAACTGGAACTCTCTGGTCCACCAACATCTGTGGTCTGACAGGGCCACGGATGTTTGTGGACCAGAAAGCTCACGAGCAGGGAGGCCATTTGTGAGCAGGGGGCTCAGGCAATGTGGGGAGCACAGCGTCAGAGGACTCAGGCAGTGTGGGGAATCCTACAATGTGGCTGGGAGCCCTATGGCAGGGGGCTCTAGTGGTATAAGGAGCCCCACAGCAAGGGGTCCGCCAGCACGGGCAGCTCCAGTGGTACAGCCAGGAGTCCCACAGGAGGAGCTCAGGCATGGCAGAAACCCTGCAGCAGGGGCCCAGGTAGCACAGGGATCTTTGGTGGCACAGCTAGGAACATAGCAGGGGCTTAGGCAGTGCAGGGAGCTCTGCGGCGTGGTTAGGAGTCCTGCGGTAGGGGGCTCAGGCAGCGCAGCTTGGCGTCTCAGGGCTGAGAAGTCCAGCCAGGGCCAGCAGCACAGCTGGCTGAAGGCAGTGGGGGCTGGTTGGGGCCAGAGGCAGAGTGGCGGGTGCCTGGGAGACCGGTGCCAGGGAACCTCCCCTGGTCCAGCAAATTCCCTTGTTCAGGATTGGCCAGGTCTCAAGGGTGCTGGACCATGGAGATCAAACCTGTACCAGTTTGGGGGTATGTGTCCAAATTTCTGGCAACCTGACCTTACAGAAGCATTCTGAGCTATATCTGACACCTGGCAGCATAACACTCTTTAAGAACAAAAAGAGGAGGAGGGGCTACCAACAACAACCCTAGAACAAAAAAAGAGCAAGAAACAAAATAAAATGACAGACTAACAGAAACCCAGTTAGTACACACAACACCATGGCATATAGGGGAGCGAACAACAATGCTCGGCCCCTGTGCAAGGGGACGGGGAGGCCCAGCTCTATGCTCTCAGTAGGGACGGGGCCTCAGGGGGAAGGGATGGGACCAGAGCAACTAGCCCTCAGCAATGCCCGGAGCTTGCTACTATGCTCCCCCACGCCTGTGGGGCACTCCAGCAGCATTTTAAAGGGTCTAGGGCTCTGGCTGTCGCTGCTGCTGCTGCAGCAGGAACTCCAGGACCTTTTGAATCACTAGGTCCTGGAGCAGTTGGACCATTTGACACCTTCCCCCCAAATCAGTGGGCCTGGTGACATAAGTATAGCCTCACTCTCAGAAGCTTGCACAAATCTCTAGAGCAGGGGTGGCCAACCCGTTGCAGGCAAAGAGCCAGAATAGTGGTGGACATAGTGCAAAGAGCCGAAGGGAAAAGTTTGTCGGGCAAAAAAAAAATTAAAAAAAAAATCACCTGTCATGTTTAGTAGAGAGAGAGAAAAAAAAAGGATGCTGCCCCTTTAATTGACTTCGGTTTGACTTTTTGGCCACATCAAACTCCCAGCGGCCATCTTGCCGGCGCCATTTTGCTTTACCGCACTGGACGTCTCAGCACAGGGCGCGCCCGGCAAGCACAGAGAACCAGGGGCAGCTTCACGAGCTGCACTGTCTGTGGTGAAGAGCCGCATAAGGCTTACCCCTACCCTAGAAAGACTAGACCAGAATACCGTCAGGGCTAATCAGTCAGGACATTTATTTGGGAATGTGAGCACCTGTAAAACATTTAAATGAAACTGAGTTTTATTACAGAAAAAGTTTTGCCAACCTTTTAAAGAACAAATCTCTTTCCCAGGTGCTACTACAACATAAATGATTCATATTAATCAGTATTTTTAGAGTAGATCTGCAACCAGTCAGGTTGCGCTACAACCTACTGTCAGGAGTAAGGTGTTAGTCAACCAAAGCAAGTCTAGCAGAATTTGGGGATAGAAGTGTAAATCATAGAATCATAGGGCTGGAAGAGACCTCAGGAGGTCATCAAGTCCAGTCCCCTACCCAAGGCAGGACCAATCCCAACTAAATCAACCCACCCAGGGCTTTGTCAAGCTGAGAATTTAAAACCTCTAGGGATGGAGATTCCACCACCTCCCTAGAAACCCATTCCAGTACTTTACCACCCTCCTAGTGAAATAGTTTTGCAAAGGTTGGCAAAACTTTTTCTGTCCTAATATCCAACATAGACCTCTCCCA